ATATCAAATCTCTTGGGAAGAGACCTGAGCATCTTTCTCACCTGTTTGTCTTCATGTATTTTCTCTCCTAAAGCACTGAAGGCATTAGCAATTTCAAGGATGTTCATATGGAAGTCATTTATACTTTCATCATCTTTCATCCTTAAGTTCTCAAATTTTGTGGTGAGCAGCTGTAGTCTTGACATCTTAACTTTGGATGTGCCTTCAAGAGTAGATTGAATAATTCCCCATGCATCCTTAGCAACTTCACAAGTATTCACCAATTTGAAAATATTTTTGTCAATTCCATTGAATATAGCATTCAAGGCTTTAGAATTTCCAAGAGCAATTTCATATTCTTCCTTAAACCAATCTTCTTTAGGTTTTAGTTCAGCAGTAGGTTCTCCATTCTCTCCCAATTTGACAAGGTGTTTCCATCCTCTTAAAATAGCTTTCCAGGCCTTGCTGTCTAAGGACTTTAAAAAGGCAACCATACGTGGTTTCTAGTAGTCATAATTGCTTCCATCCAGAATGGGTGGTCTGTTCATAAATCCTCCTTCCTTGTCTATAGTACCAGAAAGTATCTTCCCTGGATCTCACCCAGATAAAGAGCAGGATGCCTGCTCCGATACCAATTGAAATTTTGGTATCAAATATGTGATGTCGAAAGAGATGTCACAACACAAATATTTGCTTGCAAGTAAGGTGCAGTAAAATTAAAAGCAGTAAAAACACAAGAGATTGTTCACCCAATTCAGTGTACAACAACACCTACTCTGGGGGATACCAAGCCAGGAACAAGTTCACTAAATAGTATCAATTCATAGACCCTCAGTAAACAACCAGTTTATGATATAATCACTTAATCACTACCCAAGCTAAACTTCTACCTAAGACTCACCTAGGTATGAGGCCATCCTCAAATCCCTTCAATCACTTATAGAATTAATAAGTTTGAAACACTTCAATCATTCAATGCTTAAAAGCTCAGGAATGATACACAATTAATAACCCAAATAATAACTCAAGTATTTAAACTAATACTTAGAGTGTATTACAAATAAAAACCTAAACTTCTAATCAGAAAGAAAATATTCTTCTTCAAAAATTGCTTATCTTTGAATAAGGAAGTGAGTCCTTATATATGCGTAGCTTTGGGCTTGGGCTTGAAAACAAACATTCAAATCTTTTGAATATTTCCATAAAAATAGGCCAAGATATTATTATGCAATTTGAAAAATATTCCTCCATATTTTTCTCAACCTGTAGATCACAAATCCTGAATTATAGAGTGCTGGAAATCAGGAAACAAAAGACTTAACTGATTTTGGACTGAGATCAGTTCAGTAGGCAGATGTCAAGACATCTGCTTTGACATCATTCAAATTAGTTTTGCTCCAAATGTTAAGATATTTAGAAAAATATTAACAAGTCTTTGTTTTACCAAAATCGCTGCCAATAAACACTTACAATTATTATCAAGAGTGGGAAAAACAGTTTATATAAAGGGGATTATTTTTAAAGAAATTTTTTTGATTCAACACTCAATTCAAACTCCCCATTTCTTGTGTTTTTCACACCTCTAGTGGTTAGTACACTTGCACACACCAAGACTTTCTCTTGGGCTACCTTACAGTGAGATTTTTTATTTCATATCATTTACTTTATACTTTAGGATAGTCTCTTTATCTCCTACCCACTTCTTCAATTTTCAAAACTTATTTTTTCAAATTTCAAACGTCTTCTTAATAAACCTTGACCTTGTCAAGTGATCACAATTTTTTTAATAAATGCTAAAATATTTAAGCATATTCAAACACTTTTCAAAATTTCTAAAAAAGATAAACCTTATCAAATTTCTTTTTATGGCTTTGTGCATTTTTATTTTAAAACCTTTTCAAAGATTGGATATTAGTCTATTCTAGTAGTGATGCAAACCAATATACTTCTACATTATGTTGTGAATTGATTGACATTTTCCACTTAAATGTTGAGACATGCTTGTGAGAAAGTCTAAGTAAAATTATCCATATCAATATGATGCAAATGCTCACTTTCCCACACTTGTGGGTAGTAAGTTGTACTTTTTTACTCGAATACGATGAAATGTCTTTTCAATCTAAAATCAATCAACAAACTTTCGTGGTTATTTTTACCACGAACTACGAGGCTCTGATTTCCTTATTTCACTATGAGAATACATATGCATATGAATCTTGAAGCATTAGAAAACCTAATAACCCAATAATCGATGGTATGAGGTAATGGTGTCATATAGTGAGATACCACTCAAGATAACCATCCTTGCATTGTGAAGGGTGCTGTACCGTAACTAGGCTATCCCTTATGGCACAAACAGAGCTGGTGATGTTACTCTGAAACCATTTATCAATGCCATCAGTTGGATCCTCTGGAACTGGACGAGGGGTGCCCTTGACATAACCATTCTATCGCAGACACCTTGCATGCAAGTGTCTAGCCACATGGATCTCCCACCTCATATGCCCTGAATGCAAGAAAGCATCGTTAAATGGGCGATATGACCGATGAGCCGTATATGGTGTCCATATGACATCCTCTACTTCCAGAGCATCAAACCTCCTCCTATACTCTGCAACACCACCATGAATCGTTTGCCTTCCCTTCCATCTCCTTGCCCGTGGTACATCCGCTAAGGCACGTAATTGTCTTCTTTTACAGATGTGGGGGAAATGCTTGTATATCCAACATTGAATAAATAAAAATAATTAATATGACATACAACAAATAACTAATAGACTCAAGTAAATAAATAAAAACCAATAAAGAAATGCTTGTATACATGTATTACGCTTAAATAACCAGTTAGTTGTTTGGTCTTAAGCTGAGAAGCAACTCCAAGTGTTGTGTACAACATGGTCGACGTTGCCACTCCCCAAGCCCATCATGTAGTCTCCAGGCTACTGAACAACCACACGTGTCATACATAAATATAAACATATAATGTGTCTGCAAAGAGAGTACATTCCATTAGGTGTAGCATGTACAAGCCTCATATCTCTCTCCCTCCACAAGCTCTTGGTACCTGTCCCATAGCCAAGACATCTAAAGGTGCAATCCTCTGTTTAACTCAAACTCTAAGCACCAAATCCTTAGTGACATGCAAATCCTCTACAAATTGTATCAATGCTATTGTCTGATTAATATAAGGACCAATGAAGAATCTACCAACAGGGAGATGAAAAATTGAGGAGACATCAACCAATGTGATTATCATCTCCCCAAATGGAAGATGAAAGGATGATGTCTCAGGGTGCCACCGCTCAACAAAAGTTGACATGAGGGAGGCGTCGAGCATGGTTAGTGAGCAATCAACAAACTCCAAGAGCCTAAAATCACGTACAATATGCTTGTCCTGCTCAGGCATCAGATCCTATGGGTAGTTCTTTAACTTCGAACCATGGAATGAGACCTTCAGCGTCAGTCACTCATGTACGAAACAAAGGTAAAAAAATATCAATAAACTTTCAACACTTCATCGAGCCATAATAAAAAATTTGTAACACAAAAATATAACAAATCTACCTCGCCCTACCATACTATGTATGCGACATGACCAGCATACCCAGTGAGCACAAATTTGTCACTAGATCTTACTAGAAAAGCTCCATGAGTGTGAACAGATGGTTCTGTAGACGCACGAGTCGTTGTGTATATATCAGTAGGAGACACCTTATCAACTACCTCCTCCATATGAACCTGCTCAGCCACCACAAGAACCTCCTCAATAACTATCTCCTCCACAACATTCTCCTCAGCATGTACCTCATCAACAACGGGTACATGTACCTCCTCAACCACATACATAAGTACCTCCACAACAGTAGGCACAAGAGCATATACCTCCTCAGTAGTAGAAACTCTAACAACTCGGTGTCGGTGTGAGTGGAACTGCGTCTGCTCAGACATCTATTTTCGGTGAGAAACGGTCGGAGGATGTCGTCCAATCCGTAGTTGGGATCCTCTGCCTTATCAGCCCGTGCCCGAGCTTCCGCTCTACTAGTCAACCTAGCCCCAATAGAACCGTTCTTACCATTGATCCTCACTGAAAAAATAGCAAAAAAAAATTAGTTAAGAAGGAAATTTCGAAAATTTCGAAAATTTCCAATAATTTTGAACTACTAGAATTTTCAAAATTTTCGATAAGAAATACCAGGAATATTGAAATTTCTAATAGAAAACTTGAAATTTATTGAAATTTTTTACTTCTTTTTAACAATTTCCGATATCGTCTTAGATTTTTGAAATCTACAATTCTATGTTGTAAATTTCACAAAATAATAAAAAAATTGAATCAAATTATCATGGTCTTTTCATAATCCTTTGGAGGGTGTCAGGTACAACGGTGGGATGACAAGTAAAATCCTCCCACTCCACTTATTGAAGTGGCCTATTACATTTTTTTTTGAAGGATGAGAGGCCCATTACATTATTTTGAAGGATGAAATCATCCACACACAAAAAAAAACACAAAACCCTAAATCACATTAAAAAAAAATCTAAAACAACAGAATTGATCATCTCCGCTAAATCCCTTCTTACATATCAGAATCAAATAGAAGCCCGAGTTTTCTCAAACAAATCTCACCGGAAAACGCATGCCAAGTTCCTCGTCGACCGCCATAACCAGTAAGAAACTCCCTCCACTTTTTTCTTTCTTTCCGGTTTCCTTGCGAGGATTCGATTCCGTCGCCGTTGGAGACAGCGATAGCCACTCCTACTAAAAGCATCGCACGGCAGATCGAGTTTGCTTCGCGGCGGAGCAAAGCTCCACCGCACCGCAATTCTTCAATTTTGTCCCCAACCGATTCATATCTTAGTTTTTTAGATGTATTTTCCACTAATACATAACCCTAAAACATGATTCCACGTGATTTTAACTCAAATTACTGTTTATTGAGCTTGTTTAATATGGTTAATATTAGCTAGTTCTAATTTTCTGTTGTTCTCATTTTCTAGGGTTTTAAGGAATTACCGTCATCATGCTAGGTTCATTACCTATACTGCCTCTACCAGCTCCTCCTATAGACGGAAATCTCGGTCCTCTCCCCGAGGCTCAACTCACTCAGGAGGAGGTGGAGGAGAGGAATGAGAGATCCAGCGTCGAGGAAGTAGCAGCACCGACATCCATTGCCACACACACTAGAACTATTGGAATAATTCACCCTCCTCCGGACATTAGAACCATTGTTGATAAAACCTCTCAGTTTGTCGCGAAAAATGGTATTGATTTCGAGAAGAGGATTGTTGCTAATAATGCAGGGAATGCTAAGTTTAATTTTTTGAACTCGTCGGATCCTTATCATGCTTATTATCAGCATAGGCTGGCTGAGTTTCGCGCGCAGAATCAGTCGTCTACTCAACTGCCTGGGGATTCGGTTTTACCGGAATCAGCTACACCTGCGCCGGCTGCTGATAGTAATAGTAGCGATGTAGTGATGGCTGAGAAGCCTGATGTTTCTGCCCAGTTTAGACCGGTAAGGAAAGTACTTGATCCTCCGGAGGCTGAGCAGTATACAGTTAGGCTTCCGGAAGGAATTACAGGGGAAGAGCTTGATATAATAAAGCTTACGGCACAATTTGTGGCGAGAAATGGGAAATCGTTTTTGACAGGTTTGACGAGTAGGGAAATTAATAATCCTCAGTTTCATTTCATGAAACCGACCCATAGTATGTTTACATTTTTCACTTCTCTTGCTGATGCGTATTCAAAGGTTTTGATGCCTCCGAAGGGTTTGACGGAGAAACTGAAGAAGAGTGTCCCGGATATGACTACTGTGCTTGAAAGATGTGTGAATAGGTTGGAATGGGAGCGTTCGCAAGAGCAAGCTAGGCAAAAGGCGGAAGATGAGATAGAGCAAGAAAGAATACAAATGGCTATGATTGATTGGCATGATTTTGTGGTGGTTGAATCAATAGATTTTGCTGACGATGAGGATGAAGAATTACCTCCTCCAATGACCCTTGAGGAGGTTATAAGGAGAAGCAAGATGACGCCTATGGAAGAAGATATCGTTGAGCCAGGAAAGGAAGTAGAAATGGAAATGGACGAAGAAGAGGCCCAGCTTGTTGAAGAGGGAATGAGAGCTGCAAGTTTGGAAGACAATGATGAAGTGAAGAAAAATGAAGTCAGGGTTACTGAAGATCCTGAACCACCGATGAGGATTGTGAAGAACTGGAAGAGACCAGAAGACAGGCTTCCTGCAGATAAAGATTCAACCAAGTTTGTGGTTTCTCCTATCACCGGTGAACTGATTCCTATTAGTGAAATGTCAGAGCATATGCGAATTTCCCTCATTGATCCCAAGTACAAAGAACAAAAAGAAAGGATGTTTGCCAAAATTCGGGAAACCACTTTGGCACAGGATGATGAAATCTCAAGAAACATTGTTGGACTTGCTCGGACCCGTCCTGATATTTTTGGTACTACTGAAGAAGAGGTTTCCAATGCTGTCAAGGCTGAAATTGAGAAGAAAAACGATGAGCAACCTAAGCAGGTTATTTGGGATGGTCACAGTGGTAGTATCGGCCGTACTGCAAACCAAGCAATGTCACAGAATATTGGGATTGAGGATCAAAATGATGCTTCTAATAATAACCTCCCCGGTCCTGCCGCACCTCCTCCAAGACCTGGTATGCCTTCAATTCGTCCTCTTCCGCCACCACCTGGACTAGCTTTAAATCTACCCCGTGGTCCTATGAATAACATGCAGTATTCTAATCCTAACAACAGTGGCCTTCCAATGCCTCCACCAAGACCACCAGGCATGCACATGATGCAATCTCTCCGACCAGCTCCCCCTCCTCCAATGCAAATGTCCTCTGGACAGCATCCCATGATGGGTGGTCAACCACACCAAATGCATCCATCAATTCCTATGAATAACCAAGGAATTCCAATTCCTCCGCCACCTGGATCTCAATTCACTCCTATTCCTGTTCCACGGCCTTATGTTCCTCTCTCTCATCCTCCATCAGGGATGCCTATGATGCATCCACCACCTCCGCCTCAAGGATTACCACCACCACCGCCACCTGAGGAAGCTCCTCCCCCGCTTCCGGAGGAACCGGAACCCAAGAGGCAGAAGCATGATGATTCTGCTCTGATCCCTGAGGATAAATTTCTGGCTCAACATCCGGTATGCAGAGTTATCAAGATAACAATCATAATTTTTTTCTTTAACAGTTATAAGACTATTATTTATACTCATCCTAACTGCCATTTATTCTATACAGGGACCTGCTCGCTTCAGTATATCTGTTCCTAATATTGATGAAGGAAATCTCAAAGGACAAGTTCTTGAAATAACTGTGCAATCTCTATCTGAAACTGTTGGCGGCCTGAAAGAAAAAATTGCCGGGGAGATCCAACTCCCTGCTAACAAGCAGAAATTGAGTGGAAAGCCAGGCTTTCTCAAGGACAATTTGTCACTTGCACATTACAATCTTAGTGGAGGAGAAACACTCTCCCTAGCATTGAGAGAGCGTGGTGGTAGAAAGAGATGAGCATATTACGTGCATCACTGTTCAAGAAGGTTTTTGTAATATTTGCGCTTCATCACGAGGCATAATGATTCTTATAATATTGATGGACTACATAATGTCTATCTGCATGAGTTTTATGTCGAAAACTTTATATTTATATTTATGTGATGCTTCTTGAAGTTTTGTTGTTGTCTAAAAGACTGATGCTAATTCTGGAATACAGATTTTTCCTCCTTGGCGCTTGTCTCTTGAGGGATATGGCTAGTAGCAGAGTTCCAATATCTAATCTGATGATGCCAAATTGTTCACATTTCTAATTAGTGTTTTATTTTGCATTTCAGTTTTTCCTTTTCTGAAGTTACTGATCTGTTTTTTTATTGTAGCTCCATGTCAGGGTGGGATCATTTTTGTATTTGTTAATTTCCGTCCTGCAATTATGAACGTGAAATGGTGATTTAGGAATTTTTTGTCTTGGGTTTTTTCTTGTATTGTCATCGGATACAAGAGCACTTAGAAGGCCACTTCTGTTGCCGATCATGTCCCTTTTAACTGATGCATCTTGTTTGGAGTTTTACTTTTTAGTGATATAGTTTGTCGATGGTATTTATCCTTGACCTAGATTAGTGGTTGTGATGGTTATTGGTTTTTGATTTTGCTGTTTTATCATAACAGAAATAATACATGGACTTGTGGGAAGGCTCTGCAGCTTAGCCTGATGTGTCTTTGAATGGGGCAAGGAAGGTAGAAAGGCCTACAATATTTTCTCCAATTATTATTAGCTCCAATCTTATTGAGATAATTTGCTTTTATGTGAGTTTTGTTGTGAAGACTGTTTGTGCATACCAACTTATTGTATAATGGAGCAGGTTTGGTATTTTAGGGAAATCACCAACTGACATCTTCATTTTTCCGGCGATATCTCATGAATCTTACGGTTGTAAACCCCTTTATTTAGATCATTTAGTTATTAATCCTCTTCCTCTTCTGCTATATTGGTGGGTCAATAATGTTTGAATTGGTGAAGATGGAAATGTGTCTAGTTTGAAATATAATTTTTGCTGTGCTTGATGAAAATCTTTCATGCTCTGTATTTGATTCATAACATGAAAGGTAACGTCTTTCCTGAATCAAAGTTTGAAAGCACATTAACGACTCACCACCCAAATGTTTGAAAGCACATTCTTCTTTCTTTCCCCTCTAACACATTGTTCTTCTGTAAAACAATGTGACCGACAAGAACCAAATACCCCATCCATTGTGAGCAGCCTTGTAAGACTTATCTTTTCTAATGTCTTCCACCAGTCTTCTCCATTGTTTGTTCATTGTGCACTAGCTATCTATGCTTTGTGTGTTATCTGTGTCGTTTATCATTTGTTAATGACGGTCTTTGTTTGTGTATTTCCGCATATGGAAATATAGTATTTACGTGGTTCATTTTTTTTATTCTTGTTCTGAAAACATAGCACAAAATTCCTATGTTCTTTCAATAATTGTTTGGTAAGTCATCACATGTTCAATACGTAACAACAGCATCTGGAAACTTCTGTTTCCATATATTTCAAAGAAAAAGACTACAGAGTTCTTCCAATAAAGATTCTTCATGCAAAAAGACACTGGGGACAATAGAAATTATTTTGCAGAAGAAATATCCAACATTCTTGGATGATATTGAAGAACGGTGATGGTCGAGATAGATGCTGATTGTTAAAAAGAGAGTAATGAGAGTGGCAGGTCAATGGAGAGTGAATGATGATGGTTTGAAAATAAAAATAAAAGTAGAGGATGAATGAATGAGTTGGATATAATGCAAGTACCTTTCATTTTTTATTACAAATTAATTAGACACTTTAAAAGAAAATTTAAAATTAGGTGGTGGATGAAGTTAAATGAGTGGTGTAACGGTCATAAGGTTTATATCTAAAATACCAAGGAATTACGTCAAAGTAATAGTTATATATAATTCACAATATAGTATGTTTTGTTTGAAGGTTGCTTCCATACTTTTCTTTTGTTAATGATGAAGAATTATTTCCTTTAACATGTTGCCATGATGGGATAAGAACAACATTAATGTTGTATTTGTAGCTTTTAGAATCCTAATTTATTATTTAGTAATGTATTTGTGGCCTTATTGATTAGGCTAGAAGTTATTAGTCCTAGATCAAGGAAAAGAAAGTGTACACTCGCCTGTTCTGTACCTTGTAGTTCGACGACATCGATGACACCCACCTGTCATCATATGTGGGGTCTGACCTGCAATGATTTAACGGTTTGACCTCCAAGTCATGGAGCTATGTCGAGCTGTTCGTCACATTTGAAGAAGAAACTGTATTTCGATAGGTCAAAATGAGATTTCTGGTGACCGATTGTCCGTCTCTCTATAACTGCATCCTGGGAAGATCAACACTGGTCGGACTGACTGTCGTACCCTCCACGGTGCATTTAAAGATGAAGTTTTACATCAAGAGAGCCAGCGTCGCCACCATCCATGGAGACATCAACTGTCAGGAGATGTTTCAACACGACTTCCAAAGGGTAAAACATAGTCGACATTAGGCTATAATCTACTAAAAGAATAATCACCTCGACAACAACGGCTACCTCGGCGGACGAACCTGCTCGAGTTGAAGAACAACAAGCTCCACCAAGGGTCGACTCAATTGACCTCGACATCCGCTTTGACAAAGATGAAGTCGAGGTCCCCCAATGGTAAACAAGATCCTTTTCGACCCATCTCAGATGGAGACTTCGAGTTCATCCTCTTCGGCGAAGACCCGAACAAAGGCGTGAAGATCGGTGCTGGACTCTTCGACCTCGCGAGAAAGCAACTCAAAGCTGCTTGAGGGAAAACGCTGACTTGTTCGCGTGGAGCGCCGTAGAGATGCCCGGACTCGACCCTGAGGTCGCCTGTCACCAACTTGCCGTGGATTCAGCCGCTAAGGCAGTAGTACAACGTAGGCGTAGGCAGTCTCCCGAAAAAGCGGAGGCTGTTGAAAAAGCTGTAAAAGACTTTCTAGAGGCAAATTTTATTTTTGAGGCCCGATATTCAACTTGGCTCTCAAACGTTGTACTTGTTAATAAAAATAATGGAAAAATAGCGTATGTGTGTTGACTATACCGATCTCAACTGGGCATGTCCCAAAGATGTATTTTCTTTACCTAATATTGACATGCTGGTCGACAACTCGACCGACTACAAAATTTTATCATTTATGGAACTTATTCGGGTTATAATTAAATTCCCATGACGATGAGAGACAAACATTGCACTGTTTTCATGATCGGGTCGAGCAATTACTACTACAATGTAATACACTTCGGCCTAAAAAATGCAGAGCAACATACTAGCGGATGATGAACAAAGTCTTCCGCGGTGAGATCGGGGACATGTTTGAGGTATACATGGTTGACATGATCATCAAGTTTTGAGCGAAAACCGATCACGTTGCCCACCTCAAAAGAGTTTTCGACCAAGCAAGGCGATGCAAGATGAGTTTTAACCCGGAGAAGTGCACCTTCCGGGTTAAGGCGGGCAGATTCCTCGGTTTCTATCTAACCGAATAGGGAATTGAAGTCAACCCCGAAAAATACAGAGCGTTCTCCAAGCTCTCCATTCCTAACTCGAAAAAATTCATACAAGTCTTGAACGACATGCTCATCTCGCTATCCCACTTCGTGGCGAAGTCTACACAACACACACTCATATTCTTCAAACTCTTGCATAAAGAGGCGACGTTCGAGTGGATCGAGTAGCGCGAACAAGACCTCCTCCACCTCAAACGAGCCCTTTCACAACCATTTGTGTTATCATGGTCAGAGAGCGGGGAAACTTTGTTCCTTTATCTGGCCATCTCCACCGAGGCCGTAAGTCCGGTCCTCGTTTGTGAGACACTAGAAGGACAACAACCAGTGTACTTTCCTAGAAAAGTGTTATAAGACCCCGAGGTTAGATATCAACAAATTGAAAAGGTAGTCTTAGCCCTCATCAATGCGGCGAGGAGACTCAGATATTACTTCTTGGCCTACACAGTCGTGCGAACAAACCAACCCGTGAGACAACTCATAGGCCGACCAGACATGGCCGGTCGAATGTTTAAATGGTACCTAGAGCTTTCGGAGTTTGACGCTTAGTACAAAAGTAGGAAAGCCTTTAAAGCTCAAGCGTTGGTCGACTTCGTTATGGAGATGACCACTCAGGAACCCCCTGCGGACGAGAAACACAAGTGGTCTATCCTCGTGGATGGAGCTTCCAGCTCGACAGGAAGCGGAGCAGGAATCCTCCTCGAAAATGAAGAGGACATTATGATCAAACATTCACTCGCCCTGCTGTTTCTAAAGTAGAACAACCATATCGAGTACGAGGCCCTGATCGCAGGATTAAGCTGGCCAAAGACCTAGGTGCCCGAGAAGTATAAGTATTTACAGACTCCTAGCTCGTCGCATCTCAAGCTCGAGGAGAATACCAGGCCAAGAACGATAGCCTAATAGAATACCTGAACCTAGTTAAAGAAAGGATGAAGAAGTTCGACCGAGCGAAAATCAAACATGTACCCCGCGAACAGAACATGTGGGACGACATACTCTCAAAACTCGCGAGCATAAAGAAAAAGGTGGGAACAAATCTGTTATCCAAGAATCTCTTTAGCCATAAATAGGCCAAAGATACATGTACTTTTAGGTTATACAGTCATCCAAAATGAATAATAAAAACAACAAAAAATCTGAAATCACTTGCAGCAACAGGTACCAGCAGCAAGCTTGACAACCCCACTGATCTTCAAGCACTGTCATCTCCAGAGGAGGCACTATCTTCAGCATTAAGCTGATCTTCAGCAGCATCCTCTTCCCTTATTTGTCCTTCAGTCTCCTCCTGTTCTAGTCTAGCAATTAGGTTCTCAAGAGTCCTTTTCCTTGTCTCCAGCTCTTTGTAGGTTTCCTTCAGCACAACTATAGCATCAGATTTCTTGGACTGAGTTTTGACAGATGATGTCTCAGCTGATGTCATGACAATGTCAAGAACA